ACGTCAGAGCTAATACAACTACCGAGGTATGTAAACTTTTTCACACTCTCCAGTGATTCTCCTTGAATTGTAAGGAATATGTTCGCAGGTAGCATGTTCTGAAGCATGACTTTGCACTTTGAAGGCGCGAGGCGCATGCCAAAAGATGGTATGAATGTGGTCAGTTTATTCAACAGAGCTTGTGCTTCGCTTTGGTTTGGTTTTCAACGACGATGGCAATGTCATCTGCGTACTCCAAATCGACAAGGCTCTCACCAGCATCAATTTGAACACCGGGGTTTTGAAGACCGTCTCCCGTTTGAGCAGGAGAGTCTGGTTTACCTAGGTTGGTTTCTGTAAGTTTTCGTCGCCTTTTGTTCATGACCAATAAGGTCGCAGCGTTGAATGCTCTTCAATTGCCACCGCATTTGTGTCCCATTTTGGTCCCTCCATGGAATTCTCTTTATGTTCAAGTGTCCTTACGCGCTTTCTGATGAAGCTACTGGGATAACAGTTTTTCTACAGTACGATCAAGATGCTCTCATATCTCCTTCCAAAGTTCCATCAGGGTAAACTAAGCTGGATTTGATAGACGGGTATTGTCCCGAAGTTCGGTTATGCTTTACTGGACAAGATTTTTCGAGGTTGAGCTGTTTCCCTGTCCAGGTCGGATTATGTAATATTGATCTGATGAGTGATCCACCTTCGATTTTTATCATCTGGACATCTAAGAAGGGAAAAGACCTTCTTCATGTTAAACCGTGAATTCCGCATGGAAGTGATCCAGAATCTGTTGCGCGTGTAAACAGTCGTCCACTACAACGAAAATACATCCTCTGCATACTGTCCGCCTTCTTTACAGACCGAAGTAACGTTGAATACTCCAGGTGCCCCATGAAGATATCAGGTAATCACCCTCAATCGCCCAGCCATGGATTTATAGGTGGATCGCCTATCGATCACACCCGAATTAGACCTGCCAGATAGAAGAACCCGGATCAGGGCTGTATTGTAAGAACAAACATACTGATCTGCGTAAAAATATATAGGATGACTGAATAGCCAAATATGGTCACTCGCCTTGTTCGTTCTGTCCAGCCAACGACAATGTGGTCATGAGCACATGATCCCAAAAGCGCTGAAGGAATCCACACTCGATGAATTACACTTATTTGCACACCGATCTAGCTTTTACGAGAGATTCAACTGAATCCAAACGAAATCTTGTGTTTATGAAGAACACCATAAAGAAGAGATTCAACTGCAATTCAGTTGAATCTCCTTTGAAAACCAAATCCGAGTGCAAGTGAGTGTACTTCGCCAATTTCGCACAGGTTGGGTCTAAGTCGAACACAGGGTTAACGGAAATTAGGGGAGTGTGTCTATCCGATGAACCCCCAGAATGGTGGAACAGGTCGTTGGCTGTCAAGAGTTTGAGGCAACCTTGTGAGAGGTTTTATCCTCACCACCTGCTTTATTTAATGAAACTAATCGAGAGAATGGACAGTTTGACTCCCAGTTTTTTCCCATTGCACAAAAATCCTATTTCAAACTGGCCCAGATTGGTGAAGAATACTGTGGAATTCAAACAGATAACAGTTTTTCGACTTACGGAGCATTCAGCAACCATCAGTTTGACTGACTCTCGCGGAGTAGTCCCTCAGAAACGACCAATTTGACTCGATCTCCCAATCGCTTCCTGTTGCGAGGATCACTGTATATACCTGGATCATTTTTCAGAATGGTCGTGCATTGGTGAATAATCGCTCTCTTTGAGAGGCGTGTAAGTGTGTTCTAGATAACACGGTGGAACCTAACCAACATTACGAGTTCGCTAGACGCCCCCAAAAGTTTGTTTGGGACATTTACCGTAGCTACTAATGCAGATGGAAGGATTACCGTTAGATCTGCACCAAATTGAGATTACGGAACCATTTTGTTCGAAGAACGAACATGTCATTTCGAAATTTCCTTGGTCGAGCTAAATGAAGTCAGCGTATGATAAAAGCCGAGAGGCTTCGTGCATCTACAAATTTGCTGGGCGATTTGAGTTCAACGCTTCCCGGCTATCAATTGGAGGCTACTGGGTGAAGGACATGGTGGCTTGCACTTAGACAAGATATTGTGTAATTCATCTCTCAGCCATGCAGTTCAACTGCGTGGTCGCGCTTAGACTGATTCATCTGGTAACAGCTTGGCTAGAGGGTTTCCTCCTTGTGTGTTATTCTTCCTTCTGAGCTAATTCAATAGTTCACAAGTTTTGGGCAGTTCACCAGGACATATCGAAGGAAAACTACCTTCAGGAGAAATTTCAGTTGATCATTCCTCTTAGTGATCTCCGTCCGGAGGAATTCCTTTGTATTCTACATAGACAAGACTGTGCATCAGCGATCAGAACAGCGGGACCTCTCATTGGTCGCAAAGTCTTAGTGAATTTAGGTGATGTTGGATCGTTTTTAGACACCATGGTTTGATAAGGAGCTTTTGGAGATCTGAAATGAGTGACATAGGACGCATGTTCTATGGTATATTTAGGTAAAAATTTTCCCACTGGAAATCGAGAGATTACTGAAGTTGCTCCGAATGAAATACAGTGCTTCAGCTTCAATACTTGAACACTTCTTGGGACGCCTCAATTTCGCAGAATTCACCCTTTAATTTCCGTTACGATGTCTCGTGCAAATATGCCCGAATGTCCTTACATTTAAATCGTGTGCACTGTGGCTCAAGTCATGAAAAATGCGGGAGCGTAGAAAAAATACGCCAAACAAATTGTTGCGACAGTACTCTCATCCGTATGGCACGACACCATCCAAACCCATCATGCGCTTCTTACACCTCAAGAATTGGACCAGTTTGAGCCTTCAACTGAAATTAAAAAAAAGCGAATAACTTTCGCTCTTTAGCCGTCGGCTTTCTTCCTGTATCACTGACTTAACTGATTGGTTAACATCTATGGAACTTCATGTTTCAATTTATAGTTTCCATAACCTTCGTTTTTATCTCGTCATTCCTTTGGGAAGGGCAAGGTCAAAACTGGTCGATGTCTTGACAAGGAGGAAAGTAACACTTCTTTTCTGTTTAGGAGAGATGAATTAACTGGACCTAATGTGGTAAACATCTGAGATTTGTCTGCGAACCCCCCCTTACTTAATTTCAGCCGTATGTTCAAAACTCCAGAGGAGACAGTACAAGAGGCGATTAACACAGCCGTACAGATTGGAAACCACAGCCCTATAGCAGTTCAAACGACCAAACGCTCATTACTATTTTCAAGGGACCACGGTGTGATGGAGGGATTAGATCAACTGGTGAGTTCCTACTGACTGATCGACCTAAAGCAAGTTTCAGACCGATTTTAACTTTTAACTACTGCTCCCCTACCAGTAACTGATCGTCGTGTGCGCACTTCTGATCCGGGGAAATTATTTCACATTAATATATATAT